AAGTGCCATACGTGATACACGCTTGGGCGATCACGTCTCTTTCGATACAGAATTGCCTAGGCAGAAGATTTTCCCGCCCTAAGCTGCCGTTTCATTCTGCGGTAGACTGGTTGCCAACCAAGGCTCTAAGTACCCAGTACATCCTGCTATTCAAGCCATATGTTATCCATGTTATTACATCGGACGGCACAATTGCGTAAACCTAAATGAAAAGAGACATGACTCCAACAGAAGAATTGTCAATTGAAGCAATTGAAAGGGTCGCAAAACTCATTCAAGAAGGCAATCCATAGCTGAGTGTAAAGAAATATGTTGCTTGTTCTGAGTTGGCTGTTTCTAAAATTTGGTGCAAATCTAAAAGAAATGTAATGGCTAAAAACGGAAATCATACTGGGTGACCACAAAAGACTTCAAAGTGTCAGGATACAAACTCCAAAGAAATAATATGCATTGAAAATAGAAAAATGTGCATAAAACAAATGGATCGAAACAAGAGTCAGTGGTTTGCGACGGAATTATGAAATCAGCTGAATGAAATGGGATTTACGTGCAGTAAAGCCAAACGAAAGCCAACAGTAACACATAATCAGAAGAAAATAAGATTAAAATGGGCGAAAGAGAGACAATCACAGCAAGTAGGTGATTGGCTGAAAGTGATGTTCAGTGACAAATCAAGAATCTGCATTGGCCAGTTTTACAGTTAAAAGAGTGTTCTTGCTGACGTCCTAAACAAGTAGTTGGCGATACATAAATGAAAAGAAACATGACTCCAACAAAAGAACTGTCAAATGAAACAACGGAAAGGGTCGGAGGATTCATTCAAGAAGGCAATTCACAGTTGAGTGTAACGAAAGATGTTCCTTATTCAAAGTCGGCTGTGTCTAAAATTTGTTGCAAATCTGAAAGAAAATCAATAGTTAAAGATGGAAAACATACTGGGTGACCATAAAAGACATCAAAAAGTCAGGATACAAACTCCAAAGAAATAATATGCATTGAAAATAGAAAATGTACATAAAAAACAAATGGATCGAGACAAGAGTCAGTGGTTGCGACGGAATTATGAAATCAGCTGAATGAAATGGGATTTACGTGCAGTAAAGCCAAACGAAAACCAACACTAACACACAAGCAGAAGAAAATGAGGTTAACCCTTTGAATTCGAGCGTCTGTGAAAGTGCATATACAGCCGTCATCAGGGAGTTACGGTTCAGAGAGTTAAAATGGACTAAAGAGAAACGATCATGGCAAGTGGATTATTAATTGAAGGTGATATTCACTAAGGAATCAAGAGTCTACATTGGCCAAGGCGATAATTCTGCAACTTTTGTCTGGTGTTTTTCAAATGATACATAATGATAATGTAGCGAAAAATGTGTAAAATTCTACTTTCTACTTTAGGCTTGTTAACAATTCCTGCAACTCGTTTCTTTTAGTCAGTTCCTCTGCAACACTTATCTCCGACTCGATACAGCATTAACCGTCCGCCTGTTGCTCCCTGGGGCCCTTTTTTAAAAAAAACTCTTCATCGAGAGCCAAAATTTGCATACGTGAAAAGATATTCTCGCTAGATGGTATCCACCTCCGGGATCTGTTTTAAATGTGTAACCCGCGAAATTTTTCCTTTTTGGACATTTTACACGCAAGACAAGCTCAAATCCGTATTCGCTCTGAAAATAAGCTATTTTCTTCCATCGTTGCAAAAAAAAAAAAAAAAAATGTATGCAATCTTGGGCCTCTTTTCCCTCTGTGGTAGTTCGCTACAGATAACGAAGAAAACAAGTAAATTTCGCAAGTCATTTACGGTATGTGGTTGTATTTAAAGGACCAAAGGAAACATGGGTAAATAGCAGGACAGACCGGGTTCTATAGCCTTGGGTGGCAACTGGTCTACCGCAGAAAGAAATGGCAACCTACTAAAGGGGAAAAAACTGCCTCGTCAGTCATGTATTTTTATTAATTAATTATTACTCCCAAGTAATTAATTATTTCTCCCAACAGGAGGCACGTTAGAGTAATGGATAGCGGCCCAGATTCAGGAATCAGAAAGCCAAGTCCGAATCCATTGCATTCACTTACGTGCTAATACCCTTGGGAAAGTTATTAATCCTCTTCTTCTCTCCATAGCAGGGCAGACCGGGTTCTATAGCCTTGGGTAGCAACTGGTTTACCAAAGAAAAATTGCAACCTAATGCGGGCAAAAATCTGCCTCGTCAGTCATGTATCGAAAGATACATGATGGCCTAAATGTGTATCACATGGCACATAACTGACTGATTGCTCGCCCTGTTTCCACTGAGTCCAAGTATAAACTGCCAGGGATTGAACTCGCAATTACTGTCGCCAAAATCACGACCTAACACTTCGATCCATTTGTGTAGTGTTCAAAACATGCCAAGAATACTGTTCATGGGCGCCTGTTCGGTCTTTATGTTAGATTAAGCTCCTTTCAACAACTAGTTATCACCGTAATTTCAAAAAAAAGGCTTGGGTATGACGATAAACTACACCCGCGTGCTGGTTAACACGATAAACTACATCCAACAGCAAGGCCTCTGATCAGGAGGTTTTGAGGGGCGTGGAACCACCTCTTAATTGCTAGAGTCACAGGGTGGTAGCACCTGTCAGGGTCCCAGCTATGGGCAAATATAACCCCCCTCCAAAAAAATGGGGTCAAAACGTGTGAAAATAGGTTTTAATACCAGCAAAACATTTTTGAAAAAACAAATATTACCAGCAATACATTTTTGAAAAAAAAATATTACCAGTGGAGGAAAAATATTACCAGAAATAGAATTTTGAAGAAAAAAATATTACCAGAAATAGATTTTTGAAGCAAAAAAATATTACCAGAAATAGATGTTTTGAAGCAAAAAAATATTACCAGAAACAGCTGTTTGAAAAAAAATTATTACCAACAATAACGATTTTGACGGCATTAAATAACCAATTGAGGTTGATATACCGTAAAACAAAACAAACCAAGCCAAACTAAGTTCAAAATTCCGTTTGTTATGGTATGGAATTAACACATTAATTCCATCTATATTTTACGCGCGTGCGAGTTTCCTCCCTTCCTTTCACACTCGTGCGTGTGTGCGCGCGGTTTTTCACCCCTTCCTTCCTCTCACAGCTAGACGTAGCAGTAAGCTGGAGAAAGGACTTCGCTAGCTCCTACTGATGAAGTCAGACTAACAGATTTTGAATTTTTTTCCCGCGCGTTTTTCGCGGCGTCTCAAACGGCCAGCGTTTGCAAGCCAGTTGCCTTCCGACTTTCGACCTAACTAGACGGGCAACTCATTTATTCCGTGCCCTTAACCCCATATGCGGGCCGGAATATCTTATTTAAACAATGGCGACCTCACACTTTACCAAGACTTCTTCTCGTCTTGACGTTACCCGCAGGTCAACCAGTTGCTTCCCGATCTTCAACCTGACTAGACAGGCAACTCATTTATTCCGTGCCCTTAACCCATATGCGGACCGGAATATCTTATCTCAACAATGTTGACTTCACACTTTACCAAGACTTCTTCTCGTCTTGAAGCTACCCGCAGGTCAGACCTTCTCCGTTTTCGACCAGAAGACGTTCGAGACACACGACACAGTCGTGAGCAAAACTTCGTATTCAACAAGTGGCTTATGTTTATCCCTCGTCAGTCAATCGTAAATACAGACAGGGATATCCTACTGACGAACAATTTGCTATCCGCAGGTCAGACCGTCTCCGTTTTCTGCTAGAAAATGTGCGAGACACACGACACAGTCGTGGGCAAAACTTCGTATTCAACAGGTGACTTACACTTACCCCTCGTCAGTGAACCAGTAAATACAGACAGGGATATTCTTACTTACGAACAAACATTTTTCGTCTCCCTGGGCTCGCCGTAAACAACTCCACAAGACCATGAAACTCGCTTCAAACATTCTTCGTTTCTCCTGGCTAGATGCCCACAGCATTCCGGTAAAATTTCCAGCAGCCAATTCAATGCCTCACCAAAAACTCTGAGACGACCGAACATTCTTTCTAACTATGAAACCTGAACACAAAAATACCACACACACTTACAACGCCAAAAAAGAAATCCACAGTGAGTACTCCTTTCTATCTGTGCGCACATACACCTTGTGTTTAACGAGTTTCTTTTTCCAGAACCTTATAAAACTCTTTTTCCCGCCTTGTTCATCTTGCATTCCTATTTTGGCGCGGAACTCTTCTCTGATCTCGTACCACGAGATAATCTACTTGTTTCCATCTAATTAAAGTTACATATGTTTTACAGTACAGACGTCTTTGTCATTTTATTCCGGCTATCTCTTTGATGTTTATTAATTTATGCACTCGTTGATTGACCCCTTTCCTCTCACTGTTCATTCACGCATTATTATTTTTTTTTAATACATTGCTTGTGGACTCGGTAGTTTAGTGTGGTGTCTGGCACAAGGCCACTTTGTAATAAACCAGCACTGCACGCTGCCGGGTCCGCAATAATGGTAATGATAACTTTTCTCCTTCAAGCTTTTCTTTCTCTTTTCTTTCAACTCGCATATCCTATTGTTTTATATATCTCTCTCTCTCTCTCTTTCTCTATTACTATTATTTCTCTTCTTTCTTTTTAAGCATCTTCATTTGTATTGTAACCTGGATACATAGATCACTGGGTGAGACTCTCGATGCCTTCGTACGCAAAAGTAATTTCATATCGCTGTGTACGTGCCGTATTTATTCATTCATGCATTATTCTAACGATACGTTCTGAACTCTACGCTATAAACATGCATCGTATTGTTTTTGTAAATCTTGCTTTTATATCAGTAACAATTTGTGAAAACCCCCAATATGTCTATCACATTTCTCGGAATCGAAATGATTGCGCGGACAAATTGGTGAGACGAATTTGCTAACAATCACACGAGACACCAAACTTTCTCTCTCCTCCCCCTTTCTCTCTCTATTTCATTAAGTTCCTATCTGTACTGACAGACACACATGTTCGCAAATGTCTCTCCTCATATGCACAGAAGCTAGCTTCTATTTCCCGTGTCTCTCTGGACATTTCACACGTCACGAAAAAATCTCTACAATGAACCATTTCATCTATCTATCTATCTATCTATCTATCTATCTATCTATCTATCTATCTATCTATCTATCTTCTTATTCATATTTATCTATCAATCTATCAATCTTATTCTCTTCATATTTATCTATCTATCAATCTATCTATCTTATTCTCTTCATATCTATCTATCTATCTATCTATCTATCTATCTATCTATCTATCTATCTTATTCTCTTCATATTTACCTATCAATCTATCTTATTCTCTTCATATCTATCTATCTATCTATCAATCTATCTATCTATCTTATTCTCTTCATTATCTATCTATCTATCTATCTATCTATCTATCTTATTCTCTTCATATTTATCTATCTATCAATCTATCTGACCTCCGCCAAAAAAATAACAGCTTTGAAACTAGAGATAGAAAATCATGTCTTATTGTATTCATACTAAAAAAAGAAGTTCTTTTTGTGTTCATTTGAAGTGCGATGAAAAGAAAATATGTATATTTCTTTTAATCCCCACCTATATATTTCCAATACATCGGATTTTCCCCTCCCCTCGCCTTCCACCACACCTCACGTCGTGCGCTTATTTATTTATTTATTTATTTTTAAAAAATATACCGTTCATAAATTTTTATTTAAAAAAAATAAAGCATTGGGAAATCAATTGAGCGAAATCGACTGAAAATGGCGAAAGGTTGAAACCAAGGTAGCGGAACCGACTTATTTTCTAATTTTCTATACTTAAGAGCAATACATGTTAAATTTTTATCATTTTATATGCGCATTGTGCACATTTTTAATACTACTGTTTTCTGATCTAATTCAACTCTGCCCATTAACTTTTTATATATATATATATATATATATATATATATATATATATATATATATATATATATAAAGTGAACATTGAAGTCAACACTAGAGGGCGACAGGTTGTTTCATGCTAGACGCAATCGTCAGGCCACGTGATGATTACATCTAGAATGAAACAGTCTCTCGCCTCAAGGTGTTGGCTTCAATGTTCATTTTATATTTACACACGCTCTATCTCTGATATTGAGCACTTTATCCCATAAATATAGCACACCTTAAGAGTATATTTCTTCATATATATATATATAAGAAAGACACAGAATGTTTGAGAGTGGCTAGGAATATATATATATAGGAATATATATATATATATATATATATATATATATATATATATATATAGAGAGAGAGAGAGAGAGAGAGAGCTATAACTTATATTAATACTAAACGTACATTTTCCCACACTGGCAGCACAACTCGCGTACGTCAGATAATGATTGAGTTATTATCAATACATACGTATATATATATATATATATATATATATATATATATATATATATATATATATATATATATATATAATAAAAAGAATAGAACATACTTAGATATTTGTAGATATCGAAGAAATTATAATGAATCGACCGTCCGCTCGATCAATAGTTACCCTGAAATAGAAGTCGTAATCACACCGACTGTAATCAATGCTTGTAAATTAGGGTATATGCTGTGTATTTATTTAGAGTACATCGTAACCTGAAAGGTCTGATACATGATTTGTACCCATCATAAAACCTACAAGGTATTCGCCATTGGGGATAGTGATACAGTCGGTGTTGCCATCATAGAGAGGCGCTTTCAGAAGGTGCACTTAAGCTTCGTTCAGGCTTTCGTCTAATAGCAGCAATCAGAACACTGATGATTATGTCGACAGCCATGCTGAGAAGTATGGATTAGGGTCTATGGGCTTGATTTTTCTATCTTCTCCTTTTTCTCAAGATCACTCGAATCTTTTATTTCTCTCTCTCTCTCTCTCTCTCTCTCTCTCTCTATTCGCCAACTCCTTCGTCTATTCCTTGTTTTCTTACACGTCTCTCGCCCTCTCTCTTAATTTTCTTCGTTTTTTTTTCTTTTCTTCTTTTTCAGCTCACGCAGGTTTACCGCTCATTCTTTTAATATTCTCCGGCACTCGTCTCTTGCTTTTTAAGCATCGTCCTTTGTAAGGCAACCTTGATATTTCTCTCTCCCCCCTCTCTCTCCCCCCTCTCTCTCTCTCACTAGTTGAGTGTCTATATGCGTTCGTTACCTAAATGGGTTTCATATCGCCACGTGCTCACGGCATTTCTCGATACATACAAGCTTACAACGATTAGCTTTCTTCGTTCTTAACACGCATCATATTGATCTTGCGAACGAGCACAATTCATGTTTATTTTTACTCGTAAAGTTTGGTAATGAGACTTTCTCTTTGTAGATACTTACTAAGAATAGTTCGGTCTGGTACAGGGAGGCGAGGAACGATTCCACTACGCCTTGCAGTAGATCGTGAGATAAGCTCGTGGAGCTTCGCAGTTCATCTATAAAAAATGACACAAAAGTCTTGACATCCAGTAAAAGCGGCTTTATCATTTATACTGGCCAACATGTGTCTCATATAATGGTCAAGGGTCCTTTTTAATAGTGATAACTATTTTACATAGCGCGGGTGCTGTAACGGTTATCGGTGCCAAACGTGGAATCGGCGATTCGAGTTCAAATTTCAGGATAGTCTCTTGTATTCACTTTTGCAAAAATGCTCTAATCCCATCTATGGATTAAATAACACAGTAGACAGGTTCTCTAGTCGTTAAAATGTGTCGGATTGGAGCATTGACTTATTGGGGCTTAGCATTTGGCCAAAGCAATTTCTTTCTTATAAGGATGCAAGGCGCTGGATAAATTGTTCTGATATGTGATTGAACACAGAATAGGCTGCGCAACGTGTAGTTTCGCCCAATACCACACGTTGTTACAGAACCAAAACATCAACCTACAAACTCGAGTCATATTCTTAAATAACCTATTCAGATCGAGACTTTCAGATAGTCATACTTGGCACCAAAGTCGTTGTTCAGAAATATCTAAACTGTCAGCTGTATACAACCGCTTTCTAAGAAAAAATGGTTAAGAATTGTCTTGTACGAATGAAATCTGCAGGTCTTATCGTTGACCGTCCGTCTTCGAACCGTGTTAACTGGCGCTACAGAATCACACAGAACCGTACCAAATAATAGAAACCACATCACTTGATGACTTCCAGCAACAGCAACAAGTAAAATGTATAGCACGTGTAACTCGAAGAGAAAATAATACAATGAAGTTGTTGACGTTCCACACTATTTCAAGTTAGGAAGGAAACCGCCATCAATACGAGAAAGAGCGATAACAGCTACTGGACTTGAGAAAAATATTTTCCTGAAAAATTGCTTTAAGAGAAAGATTTTATAAATTTCAACTGACAGTGGCGCTAGCTGCTCGGTCAATGAATGTTTCCTTATGAGGAAACTGCTAACTTTATTATGACCATTAAGCCAAGTGCTGTTGATGATTGTCGGTGTTTTTCTCAGTGGTCTGAAAGCTGCCCAAGCCGTTATCCCTCAACCACGTTTAATGCAGTAGGAGAACATTCTTGGCGCAAATCATGGCAGTAGGATGCTAGTCAATCAGAAACATCAAAATTGAGCTTCTTTTCGTTTGACTAACCTACAGATTTCAATTTTTCCTTTCACGTCATGTGGTCTTTTTTCTAATTCAGTTATGCTTGCTCTTCGGATTTTGAAAGACGTGGTGTTTTTCTAAGGCTTGGCTGAATCCTTCAGGTCTCACCACGCAGTACGGTGTTTTCTTTGACTGAAAAAACAATTTTATCTGTTAACTGGGACAAGGAAAGACTTGTTAATTTTAACGCCTCTAAAATGAAACTTCTCTCCATTAATCACCTGAGAGAACCCGTTCTATCTTCCATTGAAATGGCCGATGTTAACCCCCAGAAGATGACTCGTTCACCCGCCTCGGGTTGACATTCTCGGGTTGACATGAAGTGGAAAGATTATATTGGATCGATTTCCAGGTTCGCTGCCAAGAAAGTTGATTCACTGTGTCATGAGAGAAAATTTTTCTCTCGAGAATCTATAAGTCTGTCATTCGTCCTTGCTTTGAATACTACTGCCACATATGGTCCGATGCTCCTGTTATATATTTAGAGATTCCTGATAATATCCAAATAAGAATCAACAATATTATTGGTCCTGATCTGGCATCTCGGTTTCAGTCAATTTCCCACCACCATAGCTTTCCTGTAATTATTCTCGAAATACTTTCACGGTACTTGCTTTGATGAACTTTCCTCTATGATACCTAATCTTTATGAATCCAAGCACAGTACTAAATTGGCAGAAAGGTCTCATCATTTCATAGTCGAATTGACTAGATGTAACCGTAGGTTCTTTGCTAACAGTTTCTTTTCTCGCACTTCTCGCTTGTGGAACTCTCTTCCATCTCCATGCTTTTCAGTCAACTTTGATCTTCAAAAATTTAGATGTAGTGTCAATCGTTATCTATAGTCTTCTTGTTTACTCTTCTTCTTCTATTATTCTCACTCCTTAAGAATTATTTCATTGTGTCATGAGAGACAATTTTTTATCTCCAGAATCTATCTTATATATCCTGTCATTCGACCTTGCTTTGAATACTACTGCCACATATGGTTCGATGCTCCTGTTATATATTTAGAGATTCCTAATAAAATCCAAAGAAGAATCAACAATATTATTGGTCCTGATCTGGCATCTCGGCTTCAGTCATTTTCCCACCGCCGTAACGTAGCTTCCCTTGGCCTTTTCTATAAATACTTTCATAGTAATTGCTCGGATGAACTTTCCGCTATGATACCCAGTCTTTATGAATTTAAGCGAACTACTAGATTGACAACAAGGTCTCATCAGTTTACAGTTGATGTAGCCGTAAGTTCTTTGCTAACAGTTTATTTTCTCGCACTTCTCGTTTGTGGAACTCTCTTTCGTCTCCATGCTTTTCAGTCAACTTTGATCTTCAAAATTCAGTGTCAATCGTTATCTATAGTCTTCTTTATTACTCTTCTTCTATTATTCTCACTCCTTAATAATTATTTCTCTTTTTTTCTCATTCTTTCGCACTCAGTAACCCCTTGTGTTTTAGTAGCTTCACTACTTTTCATGGGGGTGAAATGATTAAAAAATGTTTTTGAGTCGGAAATGATACTCTGTAAGTGTCTTTTCGCAATCTATCCCGAACCTTGTTTTTTCATCCATTTATGCAAAGTCATTAGGGAGTTTGCTCACTGCCTTTCTTTGTCCCTCTATCTTTCATTATGTCCTGTGAGTGTCAAATTCTCCAAACCCTCCTTCGTCATTATGTGTCCAAGAAATTTGCACTGCCTTGTTCTTATCCTAAGTATAAGTGTCTTTTTGTTTCCATTTTCCGTAAAATTTCCTCTTCACACATATACGCTGTCTATGGTATTCTCAGCATCCTTCTGTAGAAC